CCACCATTGCCATTCCTACTCAGCGCACTCTTCTTTAAACGTATTCTCTTGATTATTAAGTCAGGTAGATCGAATCAGGACAGGTAACAAAGCTTAATTGTTGTGTGCGATTGGGAGAAGTGATGGAGACGAGGAAATTGGGGTTTTAGGGTTTTACAGTGCAGGAAAATCGCAACTGGACAAGGTGGTGACCTCCGCCCCAAGAGAGGAGCTGAATGTTACGACGGAAAGAAGCTACTGTTTGTTTTTGTCTTTAGATTTTAGAAAGAGGAATAATACAAAACTTTAATTAGGGCAATTAGGGTGAGCCGGTGTAGTCGGATAAATCTCCAAAATCGTACCAAAATTCAAAAATTCCAAAATTTGATTCGAAATCGTATTAAACAGTCTGTTCGGTTTGGTTCGAATGTTTTTATTTTTCGGTTCAGTTCAGTTCAGTATTCGGGACTATTCGGACGGTTCGATCCGGTATAGTTTGGTTCGGATATTCGGAAATTTCTTATTTTTTTTTTATTTTTTTTAATGACTACCTAGTTATATTTTAATTTTTATATGCTTTAAAAAAACAACATTTATCGAAAATTCATCATATTGAAGAATTTATTTTGAAATCAATTTTTAGAAGTAACTCTAAATTTTAGTTATTTAATTTTTATATGTTTTAATAAAACCAACATTCATCAATACTTCCTCATATTAAAGATTTTATTTTAAAATCAACTTTAGAAATAGCTCTATATTTTAGTTAAGACTAAATTTGTGCAACTAATATTGAAAATTAAAATTCAAACAAAATATAATATTTTTTTCTTAAAAAATTATTCTATAATCTTTCATATTATTTTAAATAATTATTTTATTTATAATAGAAAAATTCAATTGTAGATCAAGTATTACTAAGTATGAAATTTAAGTGAAGGGTAATAGTTATTACTTTATTATATAGGATCAGAGTGACATAAAATATATTAATAACACATTATAGTTTGGTTCTTAATTTCGGTTCTTTGGTTCTGTTCGGTATTGACAGTTTGGTTTGATTCTCGATACAGATATGTGTGAAATCTTCAGAATCGTACCAATTATTTTTCGGTTCGGTTCGATTCGGTTCAAAGAAAGTCAAATGGTCAATGGTTATTTTTCCTTTCGGAGTGACTTCGGTGCGGTTTTTGGAACAGTTTGGAATTATCCAAGTCCCATGCTCAGCTCTAAGGGCAATGGTTCAAACTTAAAAAGCGACCCTACAATAGACATAACTACTGAATTGGTTTGATTATATATATGTGCCGGTTCAAGGAACGGGCGCTTCTCGGTTTAGAATTGGCCTGTTGATTCCACTCGGTCTGAGCAGAATCGTCGGTTCTTTCTTTTAAGAAAAATGGAGAAAAGAGAAATTAGACTTAGGCTTAGTCGACATGTTATAAGTTAAAATATCATTTAAGTTGAAATATTTACGTCAAAATATATATTTTAACTTATATATGTCATTAAGTTGCATATTAATACAAGTGTAACGCCCAACCGGCCGAGAACTGCTTCGAGCTCGCCTTCCTCGCCGGTAGAACGCTGAACCTGCAATAGAACTCTCACACCAGAGGGGTTTTTCTGTTAAGAGCCTCCAACGCTCAAGTCAGCCTTGAAAAGATGAATATATGTGGAAAATATGTAAGTATGACAGATTGTGTGTAAAATGAGAGTTCTCGTCCCTATTTATAGGGACGAGCTACTTGTTGGCACGCGCTGCTCCCGCGAGTCGAGATCTCTTCCTTCCTGCTCATCCGTACAATCGCTTGCCTCCACTATCTTGGTGTCAGAAACGCGTCACCATATGTCAGGGAATGTCAGAGACCGTTATCGCCCTGGACCACTCGTTATGTGCCGCGAGTCCTCCTTTCACGTGCTGAAGATTCCTCCAAAAGTCCTGATGTTTCGACCAGATCTGGCGCGAT